ATATATATACAATACTAATGCCCTTAGTGCCTGGCTGGAACCCTTCTTTTCCCCCATTAGAACCTTTGCAGTCTTTTCAGTTTGGCCATCGATGTTGGTTAATATTTGCAGACATTTGCAGCTTAAAAGAAGTGCAAGATCTCCTGTAAAAAAGATTCAGAAGTCACAGAATTTAAAATGTACTGCGGGTAGAGAGGTGGACCCTCACTAAGAGTTTTGGAGAAGCAAGAACTGAAAGCAGACTGGTATTTGCAAAGAGAAAGAATATACAGAGTCTAGAGGGATGACCAGCTCTGAATTGTTGGAATTTAGGTACCTAAAATGCCTTTGGGTCTCAGAGGTCACCTTTCCTCAATATACAGTCTTTGACCCTAAGACTTGATGGTCTAAATGCAGATAAAAGAACATAAGCAGAGTGGAATATATGATAAATCCTAAGCAGGATAGAAATAGGATTGGCTTGATAGCATTCTACAAGTAATTTTAATTTCTCTCTGCATTTCCCACTGTACTTTTCAGTTACAGGGCTTCATCCTCCATTGTCCACAAAGCTGCTGAATCACTGTTTCTGCTGCTAAGGGGTGTGAAATGCCAGATCAGAACAGCACTTTGTGACAATGTTATGAATCTGTATTTAGGACCCATTAACTCTAGCTAAAATCAGCAGCGATTGAGGGTATGGGACTGTGGGCCATGTACAAGTGACCCTTCTAAAGCTTTGGATGAGATCTGCTTGGCGAAGAAGTTGTGTGTTGGGGAATGAACAGGGTGTAGGAACAGCATCTGCCGCAGTTTCCGTACATTCCTATTCCATAGAGGAGGGAGATGTGGATCACCTCAGGGGTGCTGAGACATGATTGTCCCAAGTACCCATTCAGTGTAAGACTGTTGTTCACATGCTTGGCTTTAAATTAATCAGAGAGTCCACTTAGTAGGGAATTTAACTTTGGGACCAATCACACAGGTTTCTCTCTGTCCTCTCTTTTTAAAGGCTTTGATCCATTTGGATACTTTTGACAGAAATTCTCTGCTGACAAAGTTATGTCCTTTGTCTCTCCTGTTGTCTTCTTACAGTGCATTGTACTTTTTGTGGAACATCTTCCCGTTTGCCCTTAGCCTGGGATGATAAGACATGTATACAAAAGCTTGTAAAATGGATGTTGTAGGGGTCTCAGAAATGTACCTTTACTGTGCGGCTTCTTGTGATTGCAGACTCAGTGGCTGGAATGATCTTTTGCAGTTCTCACTTGCCACTGGGCTCTGAAGTGATCGCTGTAGTGCAAACAGCTTGTATAAACTACAGGTCTTCTTACTGCATCACCCACTTGTGCTTGTTCATCTCTGCAATTAACCAGACACCTACCCTGTGAAGAGTTTGTCATTTCAGAGCAACTGTTGAGTGATCCAAAAATTCTTCCCTAAATCCTTTCCTGTGGTATAAACAGACACTTAAACTTTGTCTTCTGTAGTGCAAGCTCATAATCAAGATCTCAGCAAAGCAGCTAAAATCATTCCTGAAAATTCCGCTATATGAATAAAGTTTATGAGAACAGCTTTTCAAAAACGGGGCCGATTTTTGGATTTGACTCAAACCTGTTCTTCTGTGTTCAGTATTTGTGTATTTGCTTTCTTCTGCCAGGCCTGCATTTACCACTTTCCTTTTAAGCCTACCATGAAAAGAAACAGCTAACACTGTAATATGCAGCGCAAAAGAGTACAATGTGTTTTTTGCTCATCGGAAAGACACTCAGTCAGCAGCAATAGCTTCAGGCCCGAAGGGCAGAGTTTATCTGTGAACAGCCAAAGAGTGAGAAAGTTTGTCAGTGTCAAAATTACTTGCTTAAGGAAGTAAAAAGGGTTTTAGGTTTTTTTCTTTACCAAGAGAGAGATGTAAGTAAGTTGGTAATCAGGACAATGCCAGATTCCCCTGGCAGTAGAAAATACGACCTGTGCCAAGTATGGCCTGAATTTTTGGATACATGTCAAATGGCACCATTTCTGTGAAAGCTGAAGTTAAATCACAGCAGAATCCAAAACATGAATTACAGTTTCAGCTCCTGAGCTCTCCCTGCTCTCCTCTCCTGCAGGTTGGCACAGCGAGGTACATGGCCCCTGAAGTTCTAGAGTCTAGGATGAACCTGGAGAACGTGGAGTCCTTCAAACAAACAGATGTGTACTCCATGGCTTTGGTCCTCTGGGAAATGACATCTCGCTGTAACGGTGTTGGAGGTAAGTGCCATCATTTTCTTTTTCTCTCTAAAATTATGTTTAGACAGACATGCTCTCACAGTTGTCTGGGAAGGAGGGAATTCTTTTTAACTCTCACCATCTTTTTAGTGTATCTGGATGCTCTAACGTAACAGGCCTTCAGTAGTAAGATATATGTGTGCATGAGCAAGATTGAAGGGCAAACACCTGAGTGCATAAGAAAAAGGGTCCTTGATTTGTGTAAGGATAGATCTGTCATTAAGTCGACCAATTTTAAAGATTACTGATGCCTGAGGTTTTTTTCTATAACATCTTCAGTAGCCATAGATTGACTTAGTCTGGTTGACTTCACCCAAAATGATTGGAAACATCAGACAATTTGAAATATTAAGACCAAGAAGTGGTGATTGCCTCCCATTTACTTTCATGGAATACTAATACTGAAACCTAGTGAGGGCCAGTTAAGTGTCACAGTTACTAATTGATCATTTCAGTAAGAGCCATCACAGTGATACAAAGACGTGCAAAGACCTTCCTGCTTTCCCCAGATCCCCAGCTGCTACTCATCATGTTCTGTGATGTTGCAACAGATCATCCTTATGAGAAATCAAGGGATGTTTGTTGTATAGTTGCAGTAACAAAACAAAAATGATTGGAACTGGCTATCAGAATAGCTCCAGGAAAAGCTGCTATGCTTGTTCGTATTCAGAGTTTGATCACTGAAACAAGATCTCCATTTCTGTTTTGCCTAAAGCTGCCCCAGGATTCCCAGTGTGCAGCACTGGTATGTGCTAGAAATCAGAAAAGTGGCTGTTGAGATATCTGCATTACATATTGCCATGATTGAAGATTTTCACCTTACTTCAGGGACTAAAATGAGACTAAGTTTCATATAAAATTCTTCAGTCTGCTGGAATTGTCTAACATTCATTCTAAAAAATAACTGCTGCACAGTCCAGGGCTTTCACAGGCAGTCTAAGGAGTGGGGCTGTAAAAGGTAACACTAATGTGGGTATTAAAGTAAATATGCAACTATGATTTGATTTGTTACCCTTCTTCCAAAACTAGAGGCTCCATTTTCATCAGACCTGGCATGGTTCTATCTTGCAGGGCTGCCACAGAGCCAGGACAATCTTGCAGGCTAGAGCACTAAAATATGAGGAACAGTGTACAGGAGGGAAACCAGTGTCCCATGGGAAGATGTGCATAGTTACTCTTTGTTTCTCTGCTAACATCCGTGGGATACCACAAGAGTGTCCATGGAGGTCTCTAACGCCGCTCTGCACAGTGGCTCTGTGGCTGCATCACGGTGTCCCTGTGCAGGAGGGGAGGAATGCCTCCACCTCAGATTCCTCCTATGCCTAACCAGCATTTGGTCTTGCTGGGTGGGCTGGATTGTGGGCAACAGATTTGCCCCTGTTTGCACCCTTCTGGGAAAGCTACAAAGTGAGTATGTGTGCAGAAACCTGGTGCTAGCATAAAAGCATGAAAAATAAAATTCTTTTCTGGTCAAACATTTCCAGGAAAAAACATTTGGTGCTTCAGGAACTGAACCTCAGTCTGGCGTATTCCAAAGCAAACCTATCCACATTTAACGGTCGTGGTCACGCCTGTTTCTAAGTGCATTGGCACAACCTCAGCCTTTCATTAGCACTTTGTAAATGTGGCTGAGGAGATTTAAAACCTGAGAAAAATGATCTTTGCCCTGTCTCTTGAGCTCTCTCTGTTTCTTGCATTTAGGAACTCAACTTATTAATATAAACATGAGCTATTTGCTGTGGATTCTTTCATCTTTGCTGATGCCTGAGTCCCTTCCTGTTCATATTTGCCGAGTATGGTGAAATGGGCATTGTGGCAAAAGCAAACCTTATTGCTGCTGTTCTCAGAAGGCAACTGCCTAAAAGAGGATATAAAGGCAGTTTCATAGGGAAGGAAAATCACCAGCATGTTTAGCTAGAAGAGACTGACCCATTATAACCTTAAGAAGAGCTGAAGTCATTTCAGGAAAAGGAAAGATTTCTCTGGCCCACCATCCCCTTCTCTTTCAAGGTGAAGCTTAATCCCTGCCCACATCCTGATTTTCCCTCTTTGTTTTGTTCCTCAGTTATCCTCATCTCCAGAAACACATTTCTTGAATTTCGTTTCTCTATTTCAGTTACCTTTCCAGGGGTGAAGTCCCCAGCAAAACCATGAGAGTATTTGGGCAGATCTTAGGGGGTGGAACTTGTCTTAGTGTCTCCACCCAGAGTATGGATGTAGCTCCCTTGTGACTGTTAGTGACATGCAGACAACACTGCACAGTATGTCTGATTTCCTTAGATTTTCCCCTGGTTCATGCAGCCTGGCTGTCTTTGCAACCAGCTGGTGAAATACCCTTTCAGTCATTCATGACTACAGCTCACTGTCTGCTTTCTCTCCTCATCTGTCACTCATGAGACTCCTTGCTCTCCTCACAGCTTTCCTGAGGAGCTGCCTCTGCTCATGCAAACCCCTCTTTCCTTCCTAAACTGTTTAGGCACTGAGACAAATGACTTCACATGTAAGCTGGAGTAGGCTGACCTGACTGCAGCCAGCCTTTCCAAAGGAGCCTAAGCAGGCTTGACTGGTGTCAGCTCCCTGTTGCTAGAGAAAGCCCATGGCTGTTTAAAAGGGCAGGAGTGGCAGTCTAAGCCAAGGCAGTGGCATTAACAACTTTCATTAGGGAGGAAAGAATGGGGCAGGGGGGCTAATTGCTATTCAGCCACGTAAAGGTACAGTGACTGATTTCTTTCACAAAGGGAGCTCTCAGGATTTGTTTGTCAGCATGCAGGTGTTTGGTGAGTGTGGGAGGCGATGGAGGCAGGTCCTTTCACTACAGCAGCTTTGTCAGTCTCCACGCTATGCCAGGCCTTTTCAGTCAGCAGATGTTTAAACAAAAATACCCAGCAGCATAATCCATACTGTGAAGCTGCTGTAGTAAATAAGCAGGTGGGGATTGGCTTTTGAGAAACGCTATGCTGTTCATTGTTACTCTGTTGTGCTAAATATGGAGAAGCAGAAATGGGGCACAAGGGAAAGGGAGACAGAGGCAAAGATCGAGTTTGACTGATTTTTCACCGGAGTGTAATTTAAGAGGCATATTTAGAAACTCAGCAATCCTGCTTTGGGGAGAACTTGAACTGCTCCACACTGCTGTTAACTTGGTATTTCATTCAGCACAACAGCTGTGCACCAGATGCTGCACGTTGCAAGAAATATAATTTCCATCTCAACCACTAGCTTTCAGACCGACACAGCTTTGGTGACTGAGGCAAGTGTAATTTCTCTGACAGCCTCCTAGAAAGAGAAGAAAACCATCTGGTTTGTATCGGCACTGCTCTGGGAGGGGGCCTGTTAGGGTGGCAGCTATTTGTGCATCCTGTACCTCATGAGATGCTCAGCTTTCATCATATTGACGTGGAGAGGTGACAGTTTCTGGTGGCAGGGAGTGTTTTGATAGCCTGTACAGCCTGGGGCTGTGCCTGCGCATTGGGCCCTGAGGTGGCTGCAGCTGCAGCCTGATTTAAAACTTTCCTTCTATGGAGCAGAGCCCAATTAGGGCACGTCTGCACTGTGCTGGCTTGTGGTGGCATATAACCCTGAGCTGGTACGTCAGACAGTGCAGCATCACCCTATAACAGTAATTCATGCCCTGAAGATTCTCAAAGTGTCACCGCAGTACTACACATAAGGTAGTACTTCAACAAGCCCAAGGCAACAGTACACGGTGCTCTCTACTTTCCCACCTCAGGATCCAGCACAAAGTGTCTAAGCAGGCAGTAACCATACACTGGTGGCAGAGCTCTGCACTCCCAAACCTTTGGAAGAGTGGCTGTGTCTTTGATCAACAGATGTGAAGTCACTTAAAAGATGTCTGTGCAAGGGAAGCTGCACAGTGGGTTCACCCATCCCAACACACCCTCACCCTTCCCAGCTAGCATCTGTACTCTGAAGGACGAATGGGGAAACACAGGGAAAATGTGAAGTAAGCATTTGAACAGCTCCTTAAACCTGGCCATGAAATGGCTTTTGAGCCTCTGCTTTATTCATTATTATCCCTTTGTGCAACAGCTAAGTAGATCCACCGTCCAAATTCCTCTAGCATGAAGAAAGACACAATCCTCACACACAGATAGATGTGTGCATGAGCTGTCACAGTAGCTCCACTATCAATTGATTTATCCCTTAGGTGATTCTCCCCTTGCAAACTCTAAATAGAGAGGCATTTCAAAAGGATCTAAAAATTCCCAAACCACAGCCCACTGCTGTGGACTGTGCTTCACAGCTGATTTTTGCTGGCCTTCTTTCACCTCACACCTGCTTTGATCCTACAAATGAACCTCCATCTTCCATCATGAGAAGTTGTCCCATAGAAATCAGCAAGAGGGAATGTTGGCAGGGTTTGTGGATATGCTGTTCTGACCCAAAGGAAGAGAATTCTACTGCAAAGAGCTTAGAGTAGAAAAAGAACACATGAGTGAGGTATACTTTTCATGAGGAACCCACAGCCAGATTTTCCAAAGCATTCATCAGGCACAACACATAGACCTTCAGTAATGTCTCTGGGGCTAAAAATCCAATCCCAGCCTTTCCGAGACTTATAGCCAGGCCAGTGTCAAAGGACACCAGAGATACAGCAATTATTAGTGCAAGGTAGCTCACAACCATAAAGATTAAACGCTGGAGGTTAAAGTTGAAGGAACTCTGCCATTACTGAACACTAAAGGTGCTGTATTTCATGGTACCTGAGGTATTCATGGTACTTCAGTCAGTTGTCATTTTTAGTGCCTGACTGGTCTAAAAACAATCAAAAGAAACATATAAGGGATGAAAAATAGATTCAGCATCTGTATACAGCCATGGACAAGCAGCTAGGCACAAACATCTTAACCTGCCTCAAATTGACATTTGTTACATCTACTGTTGTAGCACATCAATATGATCCATGAATAACCCCAGCTATTACTGCAAAATGTGTCTAAACACCTGAGATTCCACAGCACCAGGATGATTCACTGCAAGAGGATTCAGTGGGCTTTTCTTTGTAAAGGAAAAAGAAGCAAGGAGCTCCTGCGTGCTTTTCTAACTGAGGGAAGGCATGACTCTATTACTATAGAGTCATTACAGCAAATTGGCATCTGGCCTCAATTTCTCTTTATCATAAAAAAACAACCAACAAAAAAAAAAAACCAACCAAAACAAACCTAAAAAACTTATTCAATCTTTATATTTGGAAGAGGAATGTTTGTATTATAGAAAGAATTTCTCAAACAGGGAAAATGTATTACAGACATCAGTTCTCGAACCATCTCATAAATCTGAATGACCTTTGAACTAACCTCAACAAGAGGAACAGCTCAGCAGAGCAGCAACAGCATCCCTCTGTTGGATATTGGGACTCCTTTGACTCCTCATACTGCAAGATCTCAGAGGCTTGGCTGCTGTCCATGACCACTACCACAGTCAAACCATGCTGATGAAGATGGTGTAGGAAATGGACATCTAGGTCATGCTGTTTAAATTTTTGCAGTGAACATTAATATTTTGGTTAGCTTTGAAAGTAGAGGCATCTGCTTTGTAATGATTGTGCATCCGCTGTGTAGTAATCCAGGTCTGACCAGCAAGATGGCAACTTCCCAATTAACTTATAGGGCTAAAGTCTTGTAAATTTACTTTGGCTGAGTAATCTTTAACTGAGATTAATGGGGGTGAAAATGGTATGCCTCCTTGTAGAGGGAAGAAAGCAAAGCAGACTTTGACCCTTGACTGTTAACGAAAGTGATTTACGTATGAGAAGGTAGGAGAGCTCTGCAGGAGGCATCTGTGGGGTGATCTGCTGCACTGAACACACAGTTGTTTGCAGCTGGATCTCTAAATACTGAACATTTGAAGCACAAGGTTTAATATACCATCCAAAATGTTTGTTATCGTAACTTGGCTATTCTTTTTAAGCATTAGAAATTCTTTTTCTGTAGCCTGATAAAGTCTTCATCTCATGGCCATCACATAAAAGTCAGAGCTACTGCCTGACTCTAAGATTTTGGAGAAAAGTCCACCTTTTAGTTATGTTCGATACTACCTTGTTCTTACCATGAGACATGACAGAAATATCTGACCTATGTTATCTCGATCCTTAGTTATTTTCATTATTTTACCGTATGAACCTTTACGTTTCCCTCCAAAGTAAACAAAGCCAAGCTTTAGAGTTTCTTCCTGTTTTTTGTGGGCCTTTAATCATTATCACCACCCTTCTCAGAGCTTTTTTTTTTACTGTAAAATGCCCCTTGAGAGGAGTGAGCAGCTCTGGACACTGCATTTGAACTTTGGTTGTAACATTACATAGCGGTACTGTGTCTCCCATCCCGTTCATCTCTCTTCACACATCTTCTGGGCATTCACACACATTCCCCAGACTACCTTGTAGATTACACTTCAGTTTTTCTTGCCCTCAATTAATTCCTAGAAAGAAATAGGAGGCAGCAGAACAAGCCAGCTTCATAAATCTTTATCTAATGCTAGCAAGTCATTAGGCCTGTGAGTAAAGTCTCCATCTGTTCCCAAAGAAACCACAGCATTTTCTACACTGTGTCAGCATCTACTATAATATTTCCGCTCACAGAGATTTCTTGAGTTTTCTCCAAAGGTCCCATATGTCAGCCTCTTCCTTTCTCTCTCCAAAGAAAAGTGAAGAAAATATGCAACATGCAAACAAAACTAGAATGGCAGCAGCCCCTTCAGGAAGCTGTGCCCCCCTGCATCATGGGCCAAAACTGGCCCAGTTTGGGAAAGACGCCTAAAATAAGAACAGACTACTACTTTCTATAAATGAACACGACTCAGTAATAAACAAGGGCAGCATGGCAGCTTCCAGCACTGCTCCTTACTGTATCTTTGTCCTTTCCAAGCAACTGTTTCCTCCTAGCAATCTGGCACATTAACATCTATCATGACCTAGATAGATTTTGGTTTATATTTCACCTGGTAAGTGTGTGTGAACTCCAGGGGACCTAAGGGCAGCTGGTTCTTGCAAGCCTGGCTCAAGCAAAACTCACCTTGAAGCTCCTGTGTGTTTTGCCTCAGCAGAGATTGAAAGTCTTACAAATCATTATAGGTTATTCTGCTGCTCTGACTGTTGCTAATATGATTATGTACTAAAGGGTTTGAATGAAAATTGGTTACTTGTCTAGGAAAGAAAAGGGCAGGAGGGGGCATGTGGGAGAAACACATTTGAAACATTTTTGAAAATGCCAACTGGCTTTGCTTTGTTTGGAGCTGGTCAAGCAGAACAGTGGCACTGAGCAGCTAATCAGTAGCTCCTACTCCTCCAGAGAACAGCCAGCTCCCTTCACACTTGGCACCAGTGTAGTGCAGCTGAATACCCTTGTGTTTGCTTATTCTTTTGGCAGAAGTGAAAGAGTATGAGCCCCCATTCGGCTCTAAAGTGCGAGAACACCCCTGCGTGGAAAGCATGAAGGACAATGTCCTAAGAGACAGAGGGCGACCCGAGATCCCCAGCTCCTGGCTTCACCATCAGGTAAGAACACCGTATGTGAGTATCTGGGAGCTGCATTATACATTTAACTGCTTCCTGAAGCCTGAGCCTTAGGTCAGTGCCCTACTCAGCAGGCTGGACATCTCTTTTGGACAGATTACAGCTCTGTCACATGGTGACACTGGTGTTGCTGTGGTTAAGCCACCACAGTGCTCTGCATCACACCTACCTCCAAGCCCTGGGATTTCGACTGCCCACCAGTGTGCAATCTTAAAGTGACCAAAACAAAAAGATTGGAAACCTGAGATCTGACAATCATCCAGACAACGACAGAATAATTAGGGCCTTAAAGCACACTGTGTGCAGGCTCTGAAAGGCCAAAAAGAACTACTTCGCACATGGGCCCCTTCAGCAGAGAAAACAAATCTCAGTACTTTATCATGGAGACCAGTCATATTTGTATCCCAGCAGCTAACAGGTTTAAGAAAATAGGAAATGAGTCTTCAGCAAGCCAGTCTGGTTTTATTCAGGCTGCATACTAGCAGTGTTTCCCTTGCAAGTCATGAAGCACTCTGCCGGCTTTTCCCCTTTCATGGACACCATGGTTGCACTTCCTAGGTGATAGTAGATTTATCAGTAGATGAAACTGAATGGAAACAAGCCAAAGGCATGCATTTCTTCACCTTTGCTGTGAGCTGTTTTATCAGCAGAGATAAAATTAGAATTGTATCAGAGAAGAAGCGAGGCTTGGTTGTTCCACTTGTCAATGAAATATGTCAAGTGCTCTTCACAGACAAAAGCCCAGGCAGACAAGATCAGCTAGTATTTCCACCAGGAGCAATGCAACACTCGCTTTTTCATTCAGTTGAGATGTTAAAATCATGGTCAAACACCTACTTCAGAAAGGCCAACTGAGTGGCCAAAATCAATCATCTTTCCAAACCAGAACAATTCATCTGCTGCCTGATGACTATGGCAGAGTGTACCCCTTCTTGGACCACAGGGACTTTTTCCTTACCTAGTCATCTATGATGAGCAGGGTTATTGAGGCATGGCTTTAACTGGGGAGGAAAGCTGTATTTTGACGAACAGGTGGATATCTGGTATTACCAGCACTAAAAATCTCTTTCTGTTTTTAAAAGCCATAGATATGACCATCTTCTAAGTGACAAGTTGAGCTGTGAAGGAGAGGTTATACTAATGCTCATCGTGATAGAAAAGAACTAGATACAGAAGTTTTATAAAAATTCTGGATGAGCTAGTAAAATGGATCACGAGTTGACTGCAGTTGTTTGTTTTCTACAAAGGCAAAATGATGTCCAAACTGGCAATACATATTTGATAGTTTAGAAGAGCCCAGTTAGCGAAGTAGAAAAGAATCTTGAGCCTGTTCATATGGGAGAAAAAAAAAAAAAACCCACAAAAAATTACAAATAGGAACAGTGTGAGAACACTTCTCAGGATATTCAAAAGACAAGATCTCATATGAAAATTAAAGCAAAGAAGGGTAGATAACTGCTTAGGGAAACAGAAGAACAGGAAGATGTCTGGTCAGCAAACTTGAAGATTATCAGAGATTTCTCAAGAGCAAAAGAAAATCTAACCTAGTAACAATCTGTTGCTGGATATGAAATAAGGATACTGCATATGCTGATGCAAAGGCAGAAGTGGTCAGCGAGTATTTCTGTTCTGCATTTGAAGAGTCAGATGACATGCTTATAATAGAAGGTGATGAAGGTCCCCAAGAGCACAAGTCATTGGCACCTAAAGCAGGCCTGGAGCAGTTTAGGTGGCCCAGAGAGTTGTCTGAATTCAGGACAGGGCCCTACTGCAGTGGGACACTGCATTGCATGGCAGTGGGAGTGGGCAATATTGCTGGTTAGGCCTTGGAGAGAAGTGTCCAGGAGCCCATTTCATGCACAGCCAGTTGCAGCAGCAGCTGTAAGTGTGCCAGCATGCCCAGAGCACCTGGGTAAGGAAGCACTGGGCTCAGGATCCCCATGGTGCTCGGGCATCGCAGCTCCTCTTGTAGCAGCAAGTGTAAGTGTGTGCTAGAGGTACCAGAGTAAAGCTAAATTTCATCACCTCTGGGTTTACATAGCAAGTAAAATGATCACAGATTTGGACCTAAGTGTCCTCCATTCGACTTCAGAGAATTCTTCCCTGTGTAAAATCCAGACCTCAGCCTCCAGTACAGGGCACCCACCAACTGGGAGGACCATGCTTCTCTGCTTGTGTGTCACCAGGATTTGCACAGCTGGCTCCAGCAGGATTCAGCTAAGAGTCTAATGCAGGAAATGGATGCCTGATAACACACTCACAGGGCATTTAATGAAGGTGGATTTAATCCATTCAGCGTTTCGCATTATGCTATCTAAAATGCAGTGGTCTTCCGCAGGGCTGTGACAGTTTGCAGCAGCTGAGGATCTGCTTTGAACTCTATAGAAGTTGCTCTTACTGTAATGGCTCTTCCGTATTCATTTCCTTCTTCTGCAGTTGTGTTTTTCTAAAGAACTCATTATTCATTTTGATGAAATTCTGGAATGGATTTACATATTACAATTTCCTTTTCCCCCACCCCCCTTTAATGAGATCTGTTGCACTGTTGATTTCAAGATAATGTTTATATTTAATTTAATTTACTGCTTGTAATTTCAATGCCAGCAGAAAACTAATGTTATTTGTATACAGACAATAACGTTCTGCTATTAACATTGACATCAGTCAACATCACCAATTAGGTAAATTATGCAGTCTTGTGGAATGTTATATTTTTAACTAGGAAGTACTTAATGGGCTTTCAGCGTCATAAAGCAAAGCACACTATTTCCTGGCAAATACCTCATGTTCATAAAATGCATTTACGGAGATGCAACTGTGTTTTGCTCCTGTAAACATATGCATCAGTATTGAAATGAAGGTTAAATAGTTATACCTGTGAGTGACGTGTTTAAGTGCTTGCGGTACTGTGGCCCATATTGGCACATAGATTTAGTTAGTCTGCAAGGAATTCATAAAGGGCTTAAGTAGGGCCTGATATTGCTGACAAGCAGAATTTCTTTTGAAACACTCAAACAGAATTCACATGCACAAAGGTGTGGGATAAGTGGGAAGTCACGTTATCCAAGAATTCTGATCATATTTATTAAAAGAAAAAGGAAAACTACTTGATTCTATAACACCAGTTCAAAGCATGATTGTTCTTGTTACAAAGCATCAGAACATACATTTAGTACCACCCGAAGTGCTGAAAACACTGTAGTAGGGTTTCTTTCAAAAAAAAAAGAAAGCATGCCCCCATGTATGCAGCAGCAGAGCCCATAGAACACCTCCAGGATGCACATGAATAACTCCCTGAACTTCAGAGGGCACTAACACAACTAACACACCTTGGCTTTGGCAATGACCGGCCTTATCACAGCTGCTTTCTCTGTGCTCTCTGCAGGGCATCCAGATGGTGTGTGAAACTCTTATAGAGTGCTGGGACCACGACCCTGAGGCCCGGCTCACAGCGCAGTGTGTTGCGGAACGCTTCAGCGAGTTCAAGCATCATGACAAGCTCTCAGGAAGAAGCTGTTCAGAGGAGAAGATTCCTGAAGATGGCTCCGTGACCACCGCCAAGTAGCGTGCACCCCAGAGCTCCGAAACGGAGAGAAATCACTCCTAGATGCGTTCACCTTGGCAAAGGAAGAAGTCTCGATTGCTGACTTGACTTGCTTCCTGGAGGACTGAGGCTGTCACTACTCCCTTTAGGCTCTGGCTCTGGACAGGGAGATGTATTCATGGGAACTAAAAGCTGGGAGTAGGTGTCATACCCTAGCATTGGCTGCCGGCATCATGTCATAGGAGGAGCTATGTATGTTAGCACTTCCTCAGGAAATGGGATTTGAAAATAGCTAATAACATTATGCACTTTATTAATGCCTGTATATAACTATGAAATTGCTATTTTTATATATATATACATATATATAAAAAATGTGTGTGTATGTATATATATATCTATCTATATATCTATAAACAGCCATGCTCTGAAAAATAAAAAGAGTTAAAACAAAAACAAGTGCTTCCAGAAAATTACCGGTGTGTTGGAGATCCCACTCCCTTAGGGTTGGAGCCTGGGGAGACTGGCATAGCACAACACCAGCAACTGTGCACTAAGCGCTCTGCCAAAAAGATAGGAATAATATGCGATAAGAAGATGGCTTTCAAAGCATGTGCAGTAACCACCTGGCTGTGGGCCTGCAGTTGCAGGAGCAGTCTCACATAGGACAGGCCAGTTTGGCTTTGCAGTTGTATCTACGTGGTCCAGTCTGCAGCAAATCTTGGAAGGTTCAGGGATGCCTTTGCCCTCTCACCATAACCCAGACATCCTCAGTGTCCCAGAACGGGAGTGCAAGGAGCTTTGGTCCCTCTCAAAACTGTTTTGATACAGAGGTCATTAACGTTATATGTTTATTGCTTTGAACTCAAGCTGCTTGCAAGCAGGTTGCAAAACATCAGCAGGATGAGTTTTTCCCTCCTCCCATCCCCACCCCCAAACCATACGAAACAAGACAGGGCCAGAAATCCAAGCAGATGTTTTATATTTGCTGTGCTTTCTGAGCGCAGGCAGTACTGGGGTTTTTTCCATTCCTTTTACCTTGATTGTGTTGCTGTAAGGACAAACATTTTTTTCCCTATACATCATGTCTAATTGCTTGACACACCACAGTCTGAGTGTCTTCTGTGTTTTCTAGAGAAAAGTAAAGAATATGGCCAGTGCCTTTTGTTTTTGCAGAAGGACCTTGGAGGGGAGGAAAAGCTCTGTGGCATTAGGTTAATGGCATATCCTGCCATCAGCACTGCTTGTGTACAGGGCAACTCAGCAGTTAACAGAAACAAACCCAAAACCCAAGAAAGACAATTCATTACAAAAGGATCCCTAAGACACTGCTTGCATTCTTTCAGTTCTCCTAAGTGTTTAAGGCAGTTGACATCACATTTGGCCTATATAAATGACAACAATGTGTTTAATAAGTGCTAATAGTTTTGTCTTCAGGAGTTTTGCAAAGATTTTTCCACTTTTTTCTTGCCTATGGCATCTAAGCAGGCCTTGGAAATTAGAAATTCAGCCAGCACAAACCAGTCCTGTACAGATGTAGCTGGTGCAATTTATTACACATTTAATAGACAAACACTGATATTTCTCTAGAAGACATTGCCATATAAGTCAATAGAAATCATGCTTATTCAAATAGGAGTTAAGGTTTATGTTGACAAATATTTTATTGGAAATGGTTTTGTATCTGCTTTTTTCTTTTCCTTTCATTTTAACCAAACTACTCAGAAATATTTAAGCAGAGCGGGGCAAAACCTCAACAACTACAGTGGAATTCAGAGGATATTATGTTAAATTTTGTAAGGGGGGGATGTTTTTCATAGAAATAGGGAGGCGGACAGGGGCAAGGGCTGTGAGCAGGGGCTGCAGGAGCAGGGTCCACTGCCCTCTAGCCATGCACATTGGCTGCCCGGACTGCAGCCTGTTTCACTTCCTTCATCCACGCTGAAGGTCAAGGAATGGTGTCTGGTAGTTCCTGACAATACTGACATTTTGTGGGGTTTTTTTGTACTACTACATGTAAAGGACAATTTTATTCTTTTAAGGAATATTTCACCTGTACATCATGTATGAAATAGGAATGTGAACAATATATACTCTTGTATATTGAAAGTTTCAAGCACTTAACTGGCTTTGTAAACTGTTTGGGGGTTTTTGGTCTGTTTTGTTTTGTGTAAGTCAAATGTTTATTGGAGCAAATAAAATAACACCAACTCCAGTTTGTCCTTCATTTCCTAAAATGAATCGTATCTTAAAATGATTCAGGCCCATTCCTTCCCACCAGAGGCCTGAATGTCATGATCAGTGTGTCCACTGGCCTTTGCATGCGTCTTTTGCTAATGTCTCCTTCCTCCAGTCTCCATCCTGTCCTTCAGCAGAACAGCACTAGCAGATAGCCAGACTTGCTAGCCCATTGGCCTCTCTGTTGTAAAAGTTTTGCAAGTCTCAGGTGGGGAGACGGAAGGGAGAAGAGAGTTCACAGCTGATGCTCTCCTGCTTTTAGGTTCCTCAGTTCTCATTGTAGACATGGCACTTAAGGACATAATTTAGTGGTGGACTTGGCAATGTTAGGGTAATGGTTGGACATGATGATCTTAGAGATCTTTTCCAACCTGAATGAATCTATGATAAGGCTGTAGTTAAACCTCAGTCATTTTGGTGCTAGTATTAAAGTGAGCCAGAAGACAGCCCACTGTCACTGAGAAGTGTATGATTAATATGCTTGTGCCTTACAGCTACTGCTGTCCACTCAGAGCTTTTACCTTTTTAAGGTGACAGCCTGTCATGTAATACATGCAGAACACAAACATCATATAAACAGAGAGCCCAGTATCTCCCTCTCCCCACCTCAAATTGTCTTGGTTGTGACTTAGAGTGGAATCTAAGCCTTTATACAGGATGCAGACCACTAGTATCTGATGTAGGCATCTGAGACTCTCCAGGCATCACCATTTTTTTCAGGCATTGTATTTTGGTGCCAAAACCTCCACCAGAGTTCATGCTTGACTGCACTGAATATCTCCTAAAACTTCATGTATGGATTCCCCAAAACCAGCACCTAGGTGTCTTCATTCGTGAGTTGAGCAGAGTCACAGATCACTGAGGCTGGCAGGGACCTCCAGACCCTAGGCAAACCTAGCATCACTGTGGGCAGCCCCAGCATTTGCTGGTGCACTGGTGGCACTGGCGGCACTGGCCACCCCTCACCACTCCCCACTGCTGGCCACATATTGGCAAAGATCTTCAAGCCTTCTCATCCTGTTTGCACTGTCTTAAAGTCTAAGTCCTTTGGCATAACGAAGCTAACTAGTGTTGAAAAACCAAATATAAAACGTGTTAAGAAAATGTAGCAGATGAACCCCACAGATCTTTCAGTCTTGAAGTACACAACATCCTTGAAATAAAGTACACTGTATCCTTTCAATTATTTTTTTGTTTCAATTAAAGCTTTTGCCCATCTTTCTTCGCCTAAATATGGTATTCAACATCCTTCTGTAAGCAGCTCTTTATTAGCATGTCAGTCAGCCTTTTATTGACATGGTACACAGCAAGGAGGCTCCAGCTGTGCAGTGCAGAAGGCAATCCTTGGGTGAAATACTAAACCATGCAATGGCCTAAACTGGATGGCAAAGTTTCCTGGCGCAGCCTGTCTCTGTGCTAACGGTTTACATAACTCCAAGCACAATGGGATTTCACCCCCTTTTAAGATATTCTCCACTGCTACTGGAATAGACATGAACAATAAAAAGAAAAAATCATGGCCCAGCTCCTTGGGGGCAGGTAAAAAAGAAAAAGAAAGGCATTAAGACACTGTTATTCTGAATGCTTCTGGAAACAAAGTGGGCCACATGTAGAGCACCTGCAATATAGTCATCTTGTCAAGCCAGCTGTGCTGGGACCCAACGGCTTCCTTGGTTTTGAGAGGAACATTGATTAATTTATTTCCTGATCCTTAGCTCTTTCTCTCTCTTCTGCTTGCTTTTCTTGCTTTTCTTGCTTCTTTTTCTTTTTTGGCATTACATTTTTAATAAAATGCTGCCTATGGCAATTTTTCCCTCCAGCCACAAAGAAGAATGTTCTGTTCCAGACTGTCTGCTTGCTGTTCCTGAATGCAGTTTGGCTGCGTTCATGCTGCTTATTACTTGGCAAACGTTCATGCAAGTCGGTGCACACCATGTGCGTGTTCAGAAGGCTTTTGCTGGGGCAGTGCCAAAAATTCTAGTCTTATCCTGGGTCAGTATAAATGATGCACCTCACTGCAGGATTTTGGAGTTTGGGGTATTTTAAAGGCACCTGGTTCCTGCTGGGTTACATTTCCCAGCATGGCCCACAAGACCCAGTTGGCCTGAGCCCATGGAGTTCCAATCTGTCTGCCTGGACCCTGTTTCTTCACTATGTCTTGACCTATTGGCAGCTCTCACATATTTTTGACCTCTGGCAGCTGAAAGACTTTTCTCATGGGCAGAAAGTTAAGGGGAATGTCAGTGTTTTGTTGAAATATGGCCAAATTGTGAGGCTCCTGAAGGGACCAAACCCAGGAAACAATAGATTTAAAACTCTTGACTAATGAATGCTTTGAGCACCATCTAATCACTTCACGAAGGGGTAAAGGCAAAAGGCAGCTCATAAATTATCTACCTATCTATCTATCTATCTGTTGTGAATTATTTGCTCAGTTATAATGATGATAAGCCTATCTCTTTAGACAGTTCCATCTACTTTGCTAAATACTTAAGAAATCTAATGGTCACCATGATTAAATTCCCACTGCTGACATGTCTGTTTCACAAACGTGGTGCACCTTGAAAGCAGGTAGAGCAAAGATTCCTGGCATTTCTTCCCTGGTTAGTCATCTTGTGTGTGCCACAGGAGGAACTACTCACAGCTGAAAACACTTCCCCTCTTCCTCCTGTGCTGCAGCAAGGCTTTCCTGTGGAAGAAGAAACAAAAAGCAATTCACCTTGCTCTCTTCTTTCATCCATCCGTGGCTTCAAGCCCAGGCTACTGCCATCCCCTCCCTGCCACTCCTCTTTTCCTCCCAGGTACCTTCAAGCGACTGAACGGGGACTGTGCAGTGCTCTCTCCCTGTGCCCTCCTTCCTGCCGCCTCTTTTAGATCAGGGTGCTGGTCTTTCATGAAAGCAACTCACTGTATTTGTGTTTCAGAACAAGACCTGCACCAGAGCTATATGGTGAGCTACAGAAGTGGAGCTCCTCACCCCACTCCAGCAAAGCCCAAAC